TCATTGGGACTAGGTGAGTGACCATAGCGTTGTATCTCTCTTTGATTGCTAATGTATAACTTGGTCATTGGGACTAGTCTGTCGCTCTCTGCGTGAAGACTAGCTTTCGTAGGTCTCGTGCCTTCGTGCCGGCCTCCGCTCTGCCCTCGTCGAGTTTCTTGTCACGTTTATCCCTCTCTCTCTCTCTCTTTCCCTTTCGGCTCCTTGCCGCTCGCCTACGGGGTCGTCGCCGAACGTCGGCCCGAGTCTACGCGCCTAGTCGCCGCGACAATTGTAGCGCACATTCCCAGGCTGTTCTGTGCCGAGGGTGACTGCTGCCTTTGATATTATGAGGATTACCGCTGTGCTCAAGGCATGACTCGTGAGGAGTCAACACATCCATCCAGGAATTACCAGGCCATACCATGGCAGCCAAGCATCTCGAAGTAATTGAAGTCGCGGCTGTCCCGGGACCTCCCGGTCCTACGAGATACCAACTTTGGTAATTATGACATCATCAATGGAGCTAGCCCGCGAGCTGGCTTGAAAACGAGCTGACGATCAGCTCGTTTCTAGGCGTTTCGGCTTAGCTTAGCTTCTTGCAACAAGCTGGGCGTCTAGTTGACAAGCTGAGCTAGCTGGATAAGCCGGCCCGGCTTGGCGGCAACACTAGCCAGTACCGCTATTCTCTTCCCGTGCAGTCGCTTTGCGGACGTATTTGGCCGGAAGCACTTGCTGCTTGCTAGCATCACGCTCTTTGCACTAGGAAGTGCATTGGCCGGAGCGGCGCAGGATATGAACTTGTTGATCGTAGCCCGAGGTTAGTACCATATCTCTCGCAATATGTGCACTGAGCTGATTTACTCCGTATAAGTCGTCCAGGGGCTCGGTGGTGGTGCGATATTTCTGTTGACGGAAATCATTACTTCAGATTTAGTACCACTGGCGGAGAGAGGTACCTATCAAGGATATCTGATTCTGGCCTATTCTATGGCTTCTGGTATTGGACCAGTGGTTGTAAGTTCGGTAATTCTCATTGCAAAAATGCGGGTTGAAAGGCTTTCCGCAGGGCGGAGTTCTATCTGATAAGGCGTCATGGAGGTGGATATTCTGTAAGTTGCAACCCGCAAGCAGAACACTGCCATTAACCAGTAGCAACGTACCTCCTCATGTGCAGACCTCAACCTACCCGTGACGGGGGTCGCAGCTTTCTTGACAGCCGTCTTCCTGCACCTTCACTCTCCTGAAGGATCCATCTGGGCAAAACTGGTTCGAATGGATTGGTTGTACGTGTTCTTCCCCGTTGATGTGCATAATCGTAGAGCTAGGCTAACAGGGTCTCCACTGGCAGTGGCAATGCCCTAATGGTGGCAGGCTCCACGCTGACCCTCATTGGCCTTACTTGGGGCGGGATCCGCTATTCATGGAGCTCTGCCCATGTGCTGATTCCCTTGGTATTGGGCATTGCTCTTATGGCGATATTCTTTGCCTACGAGCGTGCGGTCGTGGTGGAGCCAAGTTTGCCACTGGATGTGCTGAATAACCGCACAGTCCTTGCTGCGTGGGTTCTATTTCTCAACTGTTACTCCACCTGATGAGTTGACGAAAATGTAGTAACTTCGCTACGTTTGTCCACGGTATCGTGGCTTTGGCTGCAATCTGTAAGCATGCTATACAAGTAGTCGGAGTCACGCTGACACTACGTCTTGAGACTACATACCCGTGTACTTCCAGGCTTGCAAGGGGGCATCACCTATGCGGTCAAGTGTCGATACCCTACCGATCGCACTAGTCATCTCCCCATTCGCTATACTTTGTGGCGTTACTACCAAGATCACCCAAACATATCGTCCGATTAATCTTCTGGGCTGGGTCTTATCCATAATCGGGTTCGGACTTTTAACATTACTGCGACCCACGACTCCCATGGGACAATTGGTTGGCTTCCAATTTCTCATGGCAGCAGGTGTTGGCATTGTGGTGAGTGCTGATGTTTACGATTCCTCACATGCTCTCATGTGTTTTGAAGTGGGCGGCAGTGATATACCCCGTCCTCGCACCGCTCCCAGTTACCAGGATCGCCGCTGCCCTCGGTTTCTTCTCGTTCTGTCGTTCGTTTGCCCAGGTCAGTCGCTCCTGGTGACGAGCCGGTTTTAGACCACTCACTCGGGTACCATTCCAATTCTCCGCAGACCTGGGGAATTACTATCGCAGGAGTTATCTTACAGAACCAACTGAAGAGCAGACTCCCGAAGTCATTTGTCGCGCGATATCCCGAAGGCGTCGAGATCGCTTATGCCACGATTCCCATGATACCTTCTTTGGAAGAGCCTCTGAAAACCGAGGTACAAGATGCCTTCGCGGCGAGCTTCTCAGTAATCTGGAAGGTCATGATAGGGTTCTGTGCGACGGGCCTATTATCTGTTTTCCTGCTCAAGGAGATTCCAATGCTCCGACACACGGACGGTACATACGCGCTCAAAGAGCGATCGGCGGAGATGGATGCGGAGAGGGCTGGAGTGAAGCCATAAGATGCTCTGCATACATGGCATACTCGACTACTCTGTACAGTAGGCACTAGCTGCCACCTGCATAGTCTACTTACTCGTAAAGGGCGAATCGTTAATATAGAATCGTACCACTACAATGTACCTAGCTATAGGAAGGGTTGGTCAGGAGGTATCGCGGTCGGGGCCAAGTGTGGGGATTATTATAGGTATCGCGAGATGCGTATAAACATGTGCACAGTATGGTACAATTCCGTAATGAATGTATATGTAACGCCTGGGCGGGACGGTAGCAACAACACAGATAGACATAAGATACAGCGGTCACCAAAGCGTGCACAACAAGTTGTTCAATCGGCGGGAACCCAGACCTGGGGCTGCCCAAACTTTCGCTCCTTCACCACCGTAGAGCAGCCGAGGCACGTATAGCGACGATGAGTAGCGTTCCCCCAGACTTTCCAGCGATGAAAGGCTCCGCTGATGCTGCATTGCGGCGCGAAGTGTGTTGCGATGGGAGCCGTGGGTTTCGGGTTCGCTGAGACTAAAGGCCACTGGGAGGTGATGACGGACGGTGAGAGTGCGCCAGAAGGGGACAGTTCTATTGCAGGGGAAGCGGGAGTGCGGAACTCCGCCGTAGAATCGGACGTTCGGCGCGAGCCCGAGACTTGACGAGAACGTCCTACGGCGCTCAAACTATCCGAATCAGGACGACGGGGGAGACGTCGCAACGGAAGTCCAGACAAAGAACTGGGAGCGTCAGAGACCGTGGTTCCCCCAGAGGTCCGATCTGCAGAAGAACGTCGAAGACGAGATGGGAGAGATAGCTCGTGTATAGGCAATTGGGATGTGCGTTCATCAGCGGACATATAGATCGAGTCGTCAGAGTCATCGTCGAGTGAGTAGTCTCCTTGCACAGGTACCAAGACAGCCCGTCTCTTGGGAACAGGTGACTTGTCCGGCTCGGGTCCGGGATGAAGATGTCGAGGCTGGGGTGGCGTATGGTTAGCGTCGCGAGGCTCGCCGATAGTATACTGCACTGCGATCCAAAAACCATTGTCTTTCTTCTCCCGAACCTCAATCCCGCACTTGCAGAGATAGCGCCGCGCGAATCCGTTGGAAGATATGACTGTCCACTCGTGCGTGGAAACGGAGCATCTGCCGGGGGGCACAGATATCTTTGTAGCCACAGGTGCTTTGGGTGTGGGGTCACTCGTGACGGCGACACGGACAAGCTCGACAGGAGCGTTCGATTGCATGGACTCGATGCATCTTGGACGAGATCGACATATACCAACGTCGACATGCTCGTTCAGTACGGTATCGCGCCTGCGGACCTCGCATTCACCCGGCGCCTGATGCTTGTGGCGGACTGGCGGTTCGTCGTCCGGGATCATCTCGCCGTCGATCTCCATGGGTACTTCATTCCGGGTCTCCGAGAAAGAGGAATATTGAGAGGTCTTGCAAGGCTGGTCAATAAGAGTTTCTTGTGTGTCAACCCGTGAGAGAGGCGCAGCGGTGCAGACAGCTGGACGGGGAATTGCAGCTCCCACAAAGAGCGGCGGCCGGTTGCCGTTTGACCACCCTGCATACAATAGTCAATACAGCCCTCCTTCAGCTAGAAGGGATGGTTCGCTCACAAGCTTTGATTTCGTTGAGATATCTCTCCCCAAGCCAGGCGAACGCTGGTTTGTCTTGCGTGTAGCCATAGTAATACCTGACTCCGTTAAATGAGCACCTGTTGTTACAATATTTCTGCATAGTACAAACCACGCGGAGGCTCGCATTCGCTGCTCGCACTGCTGTTCCTTGCTGCCCCCTATTTACGGCCAAAGTTGCACAAGTCAATCGTCTGCCTAGATCCTGAACGAGCAGAACTTGGACCTCCAAAATACAGGGACTGGTATGACTGCTTCACCATATCTGCGCGCCGATTCTTCGAGTCACGATCAGCAGACAAAGCATAGCTCTCCGCTGGGAAGTGACTGGTGTAAGTGCGAGGTTTGATGCCGCATATGCTGCGTAACTGACCATAATCGCTGTCAAGGTTGATGGCCTTGGAGAGCTCCTTGTTGAACCTGGGGAGTACGTTCACAGCCTCTGATAGGTGGCGATTCCACCGAGTAGGATCTTCATCTCGGAGGATCAACGACAAATCGTGCCGACCGCTGAGATTCTGCAACTTTTCGCCTTCTCCTTCCGGTATGAGGTCGCGCAGACGCTGAATGGGGCTCTTGAAGTCATCCAGATTGTGGCCAGCATGGCGCGACTGCAGCTGCTTGAACCGTTTCTCAAGCCTCGCGAAATCCTCGCCGGACTTCATCAGATCCTGTCGAGATGAATGTGTGTGAGGTGATGATACCTCTTGTTGTACTTGCCGAGTACGCACCAGCGCAGATTCGATGAGCGGAACGAGCTCTTGACAGTACGCCGACCTCGCGAGATCCGGCGTCAGCTCGACCTGCCGCGTCCACTCTTTCGCCATCATACCAAGCAGCCTACTGAATTTGAGCTGCATGAACGTATCGATGGCGGCCTTAGGCATATTAGAGAGCTGGCGAGTGGCCGAAGCCGGGGCAGTGCCTGCCTGTGCGGCAGCAGTAGCAGACTGCGGGCGGCTAAACGGGGGCGCCTCCCTCGGAGGGATAAGGCAAGGGTCCCAGCAGACGAAGTACATGTCACCATCGAGATCGCCACCAGCGATAGTGTCTGGTATCGAGTGAGCAGCATTCGATGAGAACACTGGGTGGAGTTGTGTTCAGATATGGGGAGGGGCTGTCCGTGGGGCGCACTTACCGATGCAGTTGCGATGGTGCCGAAGCGACGGGTGATCGACGGCACGAAGCTTCCGAAAGTCTATTGGTAACTTTAGACATCGGCGCCATGACATGGATGGGAGCCCCAACTTACCTCCGGGATAGTAAGAAGGATTCCTGGGGGACAGTCCAGTCAGGCACCAAGACAGTAAAATGAATGATCTGCCTCACCGCCCCACAATCACATCCCTCACGAGAACACCGCTCCGATTGGGTAGATTCACATGCACCTCGTTCGGCGCAAGAACACCTGCTTCATCGACTACGCCGAAGAGGTAAGCAGAATCCGGGATCCTGAGACTCATCTTGTTGCGCAGGGTAATGTACTGTTTTCTCTGGAAGGTTTCAAGCTTGTGCCTTACGTACGGCTCGGATAGATCCTGACGCGCGAGAAGCATTGCGTACACTACAATCATATGTTTAGAGGAAGGACCACAACGAGAAGTGGTATCGATGGACTTACGGCCCTGAGCGAAGTCGTCCTCTGCAGCTGCGTCCAGTTCACCCTTGACGTACTGGAGCGCTTTCTCACGATCAGTCAAAATGCTTCCAATGAGGTCCAGCTGATCCAGCACGAGTCTCTGGAAGATCGCAAAAGGAACCCCAAGCGTGAGCAGTAGCGCCATGAACTGCACGTTGAGCCGCGCTGACGCTGAGGGCGAGTTGTGATTGTTCAGTTCAAGGCATGTTGGGCCGCCAGCGTATTTGAACATGGAGGGGCGGTAGGCGATCATGTAATGACCTCCACGCGTTCGGGAGTGTGTTCTGCAGCGCACGTCGAACTCATTGTCCGGATAGCGGACTAGAAGCCCTTTGATGCCTCCACGACGGACTTGAAACACTGCACAAGACGTCAAGAAGGTAGGGTGTGCTTACATACTCACACGCACCTGTTGTGTCCGGCGGTAAGTTGTGTCGTGCGCACAGCTGAGCCGCGAAGCTGTCACGGATCATACCGCAACCGTCGCTGTGGAGAGAGCCGTCCGGAGCCGTGAGGTCGGGAATCTCAATTGCACACTCTAAGGGTATCTACGAGGGCCCATATTAAGCAGTGAACGGAGAAGAAGGTGTAACGGAGTTCTCGTACATCAAGTGACTGCACCGTGGATGAGAAGGACAATCCCAACCGTGCGGCATACTTGCCGTACCCAGACTTCAGGTACACACCAGGAAGATCCCCGAAGCTCTCGAGCATGCGCTCCACGGTCCACCCCTCGCCCTCATGAAAGAACATGAGCTTGCCGGCTTTCACCTGGGACTCCGTATATCCGAGAAACCGGTATCTGTGGGATAGGTCCAAGTTGAGTGTTGCTGTTCAGACGAAGTGGAAGTCAAGCCAAAGCTAACACAGTGCCGTTGTGTTCGATGCCCTCGTAAATCCATCTCGCTAGCGTTTGTCGCAGCGTGCTATCTCTAGCCTTCTTGTTGACTGAGACGAGCAAGAAACGCGTCGTATCTTGCACTAGACGCGTCGCACGCGTTTCTGGATGACTTTGTTGTTCTTTGTTGCTGATGTTGACTCCGTCTTGGCATACTGCTGTACTAATAGAAACAAGGACTTTTTGTAACATGGAAAAGGGAGCGTTCCAGGGCGTAACAGGTCGTGAGGCAGTGCGAAGGGAGGCGACGACTGCGGTACCTGGGCCGCCGTCAATGTTCGAATTCCCAATTATGGTAGCCGACGAGTATGCCCCGCTTCGCACTCGAGATCATAACAATCGACCATGTCCGGACCATAGTCCGCTCTTCATGCCAAGTGACTCAGTGAGGACTCCTTGGACGAAGTGTAACATGCTGCTCCCCCAATCATTGTTACATGGGAAGAATGGTTGACTTTGGTAGGACATTCAAGTTGTCCTAAACTGCTACCAGACTGCCCTTCCACTGGCACGGGTTTCTGTCGCCAGCGACAACGGACCTACCGTGCTGATAGCTTCATAACAAGTTCCCACCGCGAGCGAGCAAAAGGACATATACTCCAAAGATCTACGCGCATCGGCCTTGAAGTCATGGAAGCTTACTCATCCATCTACTGTCGGCGCGGTCAAGTGCAAATGACGCATGTGCATGTGTATCTGGGGCTGCTGAGTGTAGACCAGAGCTTCCCAGTATGCGCGAAGCGGCTTGTCATGCATCGCATAGGCACGAACGCAGGCAGATCAGGCACGAATAGTGCTACCGTGCCGTCCTGGAAAGCCCAGTCGGTACACCGTGCATCCCCTAGATTTGCAGGGCCATACAAAGGCTGCGGAGGTAACTGGGGGATGTGTTGAGACCTCAGCCGCGAATTTGAATTGATACGAGGGTCCGAGGACATATGATCCTGTCATGATCCTATTCCCTACGTCTTCGCGAAGATACTAACCGTCTTTCTATGACATATCGGTGACAAACGGATGAGGGATGTGGGGCTCGGGAGGCCGAGCGTCGTCACGAGCGTACCGATCTCCAAGCACAACGCTCTTTCTGTACCACTTGAAGGTCATATGGAGCTACTAAATCCCTAGCGTACTCAGGCTTGCAGTGCGCACCTCGGATCCAAGAAACAACAGTTCGAGCGGTGCTACCCTGGGGTCGGCGCTGGTCAGCTGAACTCGAACTCGAACTGGCGCGGGTGGCTACCGGCGCTTGGTACTTGGTTCTGTACCACCTCTTCAGGTCCTCTTCACACGTCGACTATGGACTAATGACTTCCCCAAATCTCCCAGGGACACTGAATGGTAGACGTACTCCGCTCAGCAAGGCGTTCTCGTGAACTGAATTGGGAGCATGATTGAGTTGGCGATCACGGTGTCTCGGCATCTATGGTCAGCTGCACCTCACAGTTCTGGTATGTCACTCGTCCAGTCTCCTGGTAGCTCTAACCCCTGTCGAAGGCTATTGATAGATGAAGTCAAGAGACCCCCAAGATGAAGCCAAACTATTGGAAGACTCGTGCCCATTTGTTGGCTGTAGCCTAGAGAAATGTAACGCGGCTCGTTGGTCCGTTGAACATGCAACGGCGGCCGCGACCGAGCCCTCCAATGCGAACTTGAAGTGGTAGGGTGAGAGCCACATGTCGTAGTCCTCCCGCGCGAAGCCGTATGACTGCGAGGCACGGATGGATACGGCCGTCTTTTCGCACATTCATGCGTCCCTTCGGGACGTCTCGTTCTTGTCTTCCGAATGCTTGATCACATTCGTTGAATTGAGAAGGAACTCGAGGCCATCCAATCATCATATGCCTCGACCTCATGATCGTGCGGAGGGGAGAAGTGCTCCCTTCGGCGACCTCTGCAGTCGGTAAACCGACTTCCTGGGCGTTACGCCGTGGTTCCACTCCATTTTGATGCAGAACGCGACCAAACTCTTGACGTAGGTTCTCCTGAGTGTCTTTGGCAGAGTACCAGAGCGCTGGTATTGAAGTCTGTATAATGGCAAAAACATTGCCTATCTTCTTTCGTTGAGTAAGTTGTCCCATTCAAGTCCAATGTCTATTAGTTGTGCTGACGTTGGGGCAAGGGTAGTCGTGGGTAGTTCAAGAAGTTAGTACGTCTATAGAACCTCTTCACTTTGCACCCTATCTGGTGGCGTCAATACAACGGCCCCATGGCCGCTGCGGGTTACGGACAATCCATTCTTCACTCCGCCAAGGGGGCAGTCATGTTCCCATGAGGACCCCCATTCCGGCGTATGGTTTGCAACCCCGGGGGTTCTGTGCTAAACCGTCTTCAGTGCCCCCGTCCAGCTGACTTCCCTGCTTATGCGTATCGCATCCGTTGTGGGAGGGCCCATGACTTCGCGTTGACCTCTTGGGAACTCCAGCGGCAGGCGAGAGATAACAGCCATACCAAGGACGACATAAAAGCCCCTCGAAAGAATTGGAGGACCCCACCTCAGTCGAGGCTCCCATCTCTAATTTTACCGCTGCTCACCTGCTCGCCCGCGCGCTGACATGGGTCACCCAGAGGAAGTCGATGTCATCGTATGCGGGTACGCTGAGAAACTCTTGTCTTCTTCTATCCCGATACTAAGCATGTCTTGACCCTTCCCACAGTGGTGGTCCCGCTGGGTCCGTCGTTGCTGGCCGTCTCGCCTATGCCGACCCCACCCTCAAGGTCATGCTCATTGAGGGTACGTACAGACCTGTTGGAGCCCAAGTCTTGCCTTTGACATTATGTTGTGCTAGGTGGTGCAAACAACCGCGATGACCCCTGGGTGTACCGCCCCGGTATTTACGTGCGCAACATGCAGCGCGATGGGGTGTAAGTGCCTTTGGGTCCTGCAGAGTCACGAAGGGTCGCTTACCACAGTATCCCAGGAATGACAAAGCCACGTTCTACACGGACACCATGAAGTCGTCGTACCTCCGTGGTCGCCAGGCCATCGTGCCTTGCGCGAATATCTTAGGCGGTGGTTCCAGTATCAACTTCCAGATGTACACTCGTGCATCCGCTTCCGACTGGGGTAAGTTGGTCGAGGACGTATAGTAGTAACTGTTAACTTGACTTATACTACACAGACGACTTCAAGATGGAGGGCTGGACCGCGAACGACCTCCTCCCCCTCATGAAGCGTCTCGAGAACTACCAGAAGCCGGTGAACAACGACACTCACGGCTACGACGGCCCTATCGCCATCAGCAACGGTGGACAGATTCAGCCTGTGGCTCAAGACTTCCTCCGCGCAGCGCACGCCATTGGCGTTCCCTATAGCGGTAGGTTTCAGATTCTCAAGGTTTTCGCATCTTGAATAAAAGATGACACGCGTTCGCGGCAGATGATATTCAGGATCTGAAGACCGCTCACGGCGCTGAGATCTGGGCGAAGTATATCAATCGCCATACCGGCCGTCGTTCCGATGCCGCAACTGGTATGGGCCATACTACTTAGCCATAACGTAAACCGAGTAATGATCCTT